TGTAGCCTTGTAGTATAGTTTGAAGTCAGGTAGCATCATGCCTCCAGCTTTGTTCTTTTGGCTTAGGATTGTCTTGGCAATGTGGGCTCTTTTTTGGTTCCACATGAACTTTAAAGTAGATTTTTCCAAATCTGTGAAGAAAGTCATTGGTAGCTTGATGAGAATGGCATTGAATCTATAAATTACCTTGGGCAATATGGCCATTTTCACGATATTGATTCTTCCTATCCATGAGCATGGAATATTCATCCATTTGTTTGTGTCCTCTTTTATTTCGTTGAGCAGTGATTTGTAGCTCTCCTTGAAGAGGTCCTTCACATACCTTGTAAATTGGATTCCTAGGTATTTTATTCTCTTTGAAGCTATTGTGAATGGAAGTTCACTCATGATTTGGCTCTCTGTCTGTTATTGGTGTATAGGAATGCTTGTGATTTTTGCACATTGATTTTGTATCCTGAGACATTGCTGAAGTTGCTTATCAGCTTAAGGAGATTTTGGGCTGAGATGATGATTTTCTAAATATACAGTCATATCATCTGCAAACAAGGACAATTTGACTTCCTCTTTTCCTAGTTGAATACCCTTTATTTCTTTCTCCTGCCTGATTGCCCTGGCCAGAACTTCCAACACTATATTGAATAGGAGTGGTGAGAGAGGGCATCCCTGTCCTGTGTCAGTTTTCAGAGGGAATGCTTCCAGTTTTTGCCCACACTTTTGGTATTTTAGATATGAAGTCCTTGCCTTTGCCTATGACCTGAATGCTATTGCCTAGGTTTTCTTCTAGGGTTTTTATGGTTTTAGGTCTAACATTTTAGGCAGTATATTAAAGCTGCTGTGAATTCTGGATTCTGACTTTTCCCCTCAGAGGTTATTGTTGTTTCTGTTTTTTCCTTCTTTTTTTTGTTTAATTTTTGTTTTTATTTTTATTTTTTTGTTTTGTTGTTGTTTTTTTTAGTAAGTTACCAAAATTAAATCTGTGAAATTTTGCCTTTGTCATTCTGGTGCAGAGCCAGCCATGTTTTGCTCAGATTAAAAAATATTATATTGCTATTTTTTAGTCTGGACTCTTGGGGTAGTCTCTGTGTTTTATAGCTCAGGGCTAACGTCTCCAAAAGTATATCTGAAAACATCAAGAATTCATTCTCTCATGGTTTTCTAGGCCAAAAGTCCAAAATGAAGGTGTTGGCAAGGATACACTCCTTGAAAAACCCCAAGGAAGCATTCTTCTTAACTCTGTCAACTGGCTTTCCTCACCCTGTGGTTCCATCACTTCAATCTCTGCCTCTGTGTTCATATGGTATTCTTGTATGTCTGTGTGTGTCCTCACCTCTTTTTATAAGGACATCAATCATTGAATTAAGGGCCAAAGTTAAATCCAGGATGATCTCATCTAGATCCTTCACTAATTATATCTTTAAAGACCCTATGTCCAAACAAGATCACATTCTGAGGTTCTGGGTGGTCATGAATTTTTGGAGCACACAATTCAGCTGACTATAGTGGGTTCAGGGGTACATCTAAACTTTGGGCAATTTTCAAGTCTGTTCCAACTTTTATTTTCCACCAGATTCTCTTGTGTTTCTTCTATGCCTAAGGGAAAGCTACTGGTAGACTAGAGATGTATGAAAAGGTTGAGCCCTCTCTGATCCATGCCACTTCCAGTTAGCCAGGGATATATAGGGAGCTTATCAAATGCTTCTGTGACTGCCGTATTGCTTCTGTCTTCCTTTTAAATTTTGACTTGTCCATTGGCCTGTTGCTTGCCCTTGGTAGAACTATAGTCGTGGCTGGGTTTAAGTGGCTCATGCCTGTAACCCCAGCACTTTGGGAGGCCAAGGTGGGCAGACCACCTAAGGTTAAACATTTGAGACCAGTCTGGCCAGCATGGCGAAACCCTGTCTCTACTAAAAAATACAAATATATATATATATAGCTGGGCGTGGTGGTGTGCGTCTGTAATCCCAGCTACTCAGGAGGCTGAGGCACGAGAATAGCTTGAACCCAGGAGGCAGAGGTTGCAGTGAGCTGAGATTGTGTCACTGCACTCCAGCCTGGGCAACAGAAAAAGAATTCTTCTCAAAAAAACAAAAACCAAACCAAATCAACCAACGAATCAAAGAAACAAACAAAAAAACCCCAAAACTACAGTCACAGGCCTATGGGACCTCTGACCTTCCCTGTTAGCTTGCCTCTGAGATTCCTGCTTATTCCTGGTCATGCCATGGGCCAAGGGCTTTTCTTGCTCTCCAATCAAGTCAGCCCCCACTGACAGTGAAGCGGCTGGTTATTTGTGGCCTGGCCTACCCTACTAGAACTGCTGTGATAAGGTAGTAGTTAGATGTTGGGGATGAGAGTAGCCCAGGAAAAAATGCATGGATTCCCATTACCTAAAGTTCAGTAATTTTTCATAAATGCATGCTTCTCACTTTGTTTTAAGCCTTTGGTTCATCTCCAGAGATAAAATTTTAAAGAAGAGAGGATTTGGTGACTGCAATCCAGATTTAATTGTTTATTGATAACTTTTTCAGTGAGGAGACCACATTTGATATTTTTCTCTATTTTCGTTTCTCTTTAGTACCTAAAACAGTGCTACCAACTGTCAGTGAACAATAAATAATTAACTGTACAAATATTGTAATTATAATCATATATAATGCTTTCTAATATTTTGCATTCTAAAATCTTTAAGATTGTGTGGTGGATAGACGAGTGCATTCTACCCACCCCCATCTCTATTTTATGGGTGAGAATTCTGAAAGGCAACAAAGTTAAATGACCCACCAAGGTACGCTAACCTGTGCCATGGACCAAAACCTTCTAATTTCTAGACTATATTCTTTCCATTGCTCCATGAAGAAATCATCAAGTCAGGATGGGGAAGTGTCACTGTATTTAAAATACAAAAATAAGTAACAAAGGAGTAAAGGCAAAGGTTGTCAATTCTTGTTCTAGAAGTCTGAAAAACAATGAAAAAACAAAATGGAGTAGTATCTGGGTATGCTCTCCAGCTACATGAGCATCAGATGGAAGGGCAGTCACTTTTAGGGCCTGATTTCCTGAGCCCATTCTCAACATTTCCTTAACTGCCCTCTCTTCCTGAACTGGGAACGCAGGACATTGTGGGGTATGACACTGCAGCAGAATGCTTTATATTACATGAGTGTAGAATCAAGCTTCTATAACAAAAACAATCAAACTCGCTTTCAACACCTGAGGAATCCATTCATCATTAAGACAGAAGGATTTTTAAAGATATTGTATCCTAGTTTTCCCAGACTCTAAACTTTGTCAACTTTCTCTTTCCAAATTTGTTTAATTTTACATCAGAAATACTAAGGTATAAATGACTGAATTACCTTTTTAATGTGTCTGTTCTTTAGAATGAGTTGCATCTAATGCAAAGTTTTTTGTTTTTTGTTGTTTTTTCTTTTAAGGGAACAATGTGGTATACACAGTGGTTCTAAATAACTTAAAAATAGATTAAAATAATAATTCACTCATTATTTTGGGGGAGCCTTCTATGCCATTGTCCTGGGACTTGGAGAAAAAAGATGCATCAATTTCAGCTCTTATGGATTTCACAAACATGTAAAGCAGCAAACATCTAGATTAGGGAGAGTTCTTAGAAGCCAGTCCCTAGACCAATAGCATCAGCATCACCTGGAAACTTGTTAGAAATGCAAATTCTTGGTTCTTACCACAGACCTGATGTATCAGAAACAGAGATAAAGCCCAGCAATCTGTATTTCAATAAGCCCTCTAGGTGATGCTGATACACCATTAACATTTGAAAACCACTGGTATAGCTACATCTTAATCTATTGTAGTAAGTGCAACAATAGGAAATGTGTACATAGTAGAGAGGTGAAAATTGTCGACTTTATTATTGGCAGATGTGGAAGGGTCCAGAGAGGCTCTTTTTTCTTTTTCTTTTTTAGGAAGTGACATAAGAAATATTCGTGAGGCACAGGATTTTGAGTCACTCTGTAGAGAATAAAGTTTCCCAGACTTAGGGTTTAGGATATCTGTGGGAATAGCGGGGCAGGGTGGGGGCTTTGCAAAGAGCATTATAAAAACTTGGAATTATTAAAAACTATTAATTGTAGGCAGTGGTTCTAAATTTATTGGTGGAACTTTTGGGTGGGTGGGGAAAACAAAGTGTTCTCAAATCCAAACAGAATTCAGTATAGCTTGGAGATGAAATAACTGCTTCATTCATGTTTGTATTCAAATATTTAAAGTCACAACTAAAAATAAAAGCATTTTAAAAGGCATTAATGAGTTCACAGTAGGCTTCTCTTATTAACTGCTTTGTTAATAAATGGCATAGCAAGATAGAGGCATGGAATCTACAGAGATGTTTGGATTCAAACTCTAACTCTCCAACTCGCTGTAAGATCTTGAGTAAGTTACTGAACTCTTCTAAGCCTTAATTTCTTGACCTAGAATCTAGTGATAGAAAAATTCCCACTTCACGTGATTGAAAAATAACAAGATAATAAGGCATAATGCCTGGCCATAGTATGTGCTCATATAACTTTAGGTATTATTATTTTATTAAAAATCAAAGAGTTTTTATAAAAACTTGGAGTATTTATTACAAATAAAAGTAATCAAATGCAATTTTATCATTAAAAATTGTCCTCAAATTAAAAGATGATCTAGATCAAGCTTGTCCAATCCATGGCCCACGGGCCACAGAATGGCTTTGAATGTGGCCCTACACAAATTTGAAAACTTTCTTAAAACTTTATGAGATTTATACAAGAACATTTTGTTTTGTTTTGTTTTGTTTTGTTTTGCTCATCAGCTATTGTTTGTGTTACTGTATTTTATATGTGACCCAAGACAATTCTTCCAGTGTGGACCAGGGAAGCCAAAAGATTGGACACCCCGATCTAGATCATAATATTGTTATTTATCTAATAGAAAAACATGATTTAACAGATGTTAGTCCAAAGTCAGCTGCTTTCACTAATGTATTTCTATTTTAATTCCAGAGACCTTTCAGTTTATTTCCAAAAGGCATCATGGTTTCCCCTTCAGTCTCACCTTTTTCCTGAATGGGATGCAGGTGAACAGGTTAAGCTCCTGTTGTGAATACAAGCATCGAAAAGGTTCCAGGCTCGGAGGCAAACGAGGCTACTTTGGGTTTGTGTGTGTTGAGAGATCATCTCCTTGCTACAAGTATGGAAACAAATGTCCTTTGGTAGAGCGCAAGTTTTGCTACATTTTTCTTTGAATGTTTTTACTAATGCATTTCTCTTCACAATTGTTAAAAAAATTCAGTATAGATGAGCCTGAAATATCTAAGTTCAGGGTTATTTATTGTAACATGGTGTGCTGAATTTGAAATTTTAAGATGGAAATCAGACTTACAGAGGTGTTATATGATGAAGATAAAAGCTAGTACATTTTAAATTATTTCACTTTCTATCTCTACTTTCTTCTCACTTTAAGAACTGTTTCTGAAGGGAAGGAGAGAGATTTTTTGTTTGTTTGTTTGTTTGTCTGTTTTTCTGCATTCATCTTAGTAACTGGTTTTAGGCTGAGCCTTAAAGTGTGTGCCAAGCATCTGACTTACTTGACTGGACATTTTCAGTTATGCCTATTAGAGGTTAGGTTTGCCTGCATTACTGTCTGACCCAGTTTTCATCATCTCCCTTAGTTTCAATCTTGGGCATAACAAAATGCATGATCAAAGGTCAGTTTTGACTGTCACCAGCTTTCATATTGAACATTCTGTTTGAAATCAGGAGTCTTGCTTATGGGCTTTCATATTTTCTAAAAGTATTGGCTAGATGCCAAGCTAGAACACAAGAGTGAATCAACTAAAGTACTTGTCTCCATGGAACTTATTCTAATGGAGGAAAAGCTGATAACATACCAATGAAGAAATTAATATATGTGAGATGGTCAGCATGATGAACACAAAACAGGGTAAGGGAGATACATGGAGTGAAGGGAGACAAGAGTCATGAGGAGTGTGTTATTTTATGTAGGATGGTTAGGAAGGGCCTCTCTGATGAGATGTCTTTTGAGCAGAAACCAGGAAAAAAAAAGTTGCTTTCTTGAAATAGCTTTTGAGATAGAGGAAAAGCATATACAGAAGGCATGAAGCAGGTACACGTTTGGTGTGTCTAAGGTAGCTTGACCAGAGCAAAAGGAGTAGACCCATGAAATTGGAGACGAGGTCAGAGAGACCATGAGGGCAAGCCACATAGAGTCCTAGAGTCATTGCAAGGACTTTAACTTTTATCTGAGAAGGATGGGAATCTTCTAAGGTGGGTTTTGAGCAATGACTTATCATGATCTAATAGTAACTCTTGTGGGAAAAATAAACAAGGGAGTGTGGGGAAAATAGCAGAAACTGCTTTAATCCAGAGAAGAGATAATGGTGGAATGAGTTAGAAGTAATTTTAAAGGTAGAGCTTACTGATGAATTGAATGCAGGAAATGAGATAAAGAGCAGAGTCAAAGATGTTTCAATTTTTTTTGTCTTGAATAACTGGAAAGAAGTCCAGTTAACATGTATGTAAGATGAGACTGTGGAAGAAGCAGGTTTTTGGGTTGGAATGAAGCAGTTTTGGTTGAGGACACATTGAGTCTGAGACATGTATAAGATAAGCAAGTAGAGATGCTGAGTAGGCAGTTGAATATACGAATCCGGGGTGAGGTGAGAGGTCCAGGCTGGAGACGCAAATCTGAGACTGGTTTTTATACAGATGACATTTATGAGATTGCTTAAGAATTGAACATAGAGAAGATGTCTGAGTAATGAGTGTCACTCTATTTAAAAGATGAGGGAGGTAAAGAGGAACCGGCCTAAGAAGGAAAGGCAGTGAGTAGAAAGAGAACCTAGAGAGAGTAGTATCTTGGAAATAAAGAAAATGGTTAAAGAATAAGGGCATGATTAATGGAGTTGAATGTGTGGATAGGTGAAGTAAAATGAAGACTCAGGATTGGACATTGATTTGGTAGTGTGTTGGCTACTGGTGATCATGGCACAAGTTACAGTGCAGCAATTGGGGTGTAAGCTTTCTTGGAGTGGATTTAAAAAATAGTTGGAGAAGAACTAAGGCCAGAGACTATAGAGAAGGTTTAAAAATAATTTTGCTATAAAGAATGGTAATTAGGTGGTAGCCAGGAGGAAGAACGTAGGGGTTCAAGGAAGGCTCTTTATTTTTTAAGATGGGAGATACTATAATATGTTTATATGCTGATACAAAGGATTATTGAATACCTTAGAGAAGAAGACATGTGAAGTATGACATAAAGGTGGAAATTTCTGGAGCTAAATACTTGGGTAGACTGGAGAAGATGAGATGTAGGGCTCAAGTAGGGGTATAAGCCTTAAGAAGAGGAGAAACATTCTTGTATGGTAACAGGAAGAAAGGAAGAAGGCATACAAGATTGAGATGTAAGTTGCTATTAATAGATGTGCTGGGAACAACTGGAAGCTCTCTGCTGATTGTTTCTATTTCTTAAACAATACATAAATTTATCAGCTGAGGATAAGGCTGAGAGAAGAGGGGTTGGGTGTTTCCAGAGAGATAAGAGCGTAAAAGAATCATCCAGAGAATGGAAGATTGAATGGCCTAGGGCAAGATAGTATCAGTGCCCACCTGTTCTTAGGGACCACATGAGCTGCCTTCCTATTCCAACTCAGATATGCTATCTCCTTATTTGGGGGCAGGTCATTTAACACAGTTCTGTTTAATTCCCAGGAAAGCTAATAAATATCTGCAATCATCTATGTGCAAATATATTACATTCTTTTGGAGTTGTGGTATAAATCCAAGCTGTAAATTATTAACCCTGAGCACTTTCTGTGGAAGTTCAGTACCAAAATCTGACTGACAGCGTTTACTCTCGTTCCACACTCACTAGCCTCTGTATAATTCTTTCTATGATTTCAACACTTGGTCCCCTGTAGATTCTTTCTTCAACCTTTTCAAATAATAACATCAAAATGGTTGCAATGTTAAAGAATAAGGCCTATGACTCTCAACTGAAATGCATGGTTCTTACAGAAGAATGGTTTTCAATTGTTTTGTTAACTTCATAACCATTTTTCCAATGAAATCTGTGAATGCCCAAAATAGAACAGTTCATTGCCATTGGCTGTCTCCCTGTTGCAGGTCAGGTGAAAGTTGAGTCAGTGGTTTAAATGGGACAGGGTTAGGTGAGTGAGTGTTAGAGCCTTGCTTGTTTGTCCTCTTCCTCACTTGAGACTTTTCTGGTTATTCTAGAGACCATGACACTGCAGAACTCCGTGGAGAGTTGAGAACTACCCCAAAGGAGACTGATAGCACTTACTATCTTCTGTAACTTTGGTTTTTGGTCACACCCATAATGATACTTTTAGTTACATTAAGCAATGCACACTAATTCCTCCAATATATTCAAAATGAAATTAATTTTAATTTATTTTAAAAATGCCAGTCCCTGAAACATTTATGATGAGAAAAAGGAGGACATGGTACAATAAAATAACAGAAAATTATATTTCTAAAATGATTAGGAATTACCTGTTTAAGGTCCTCAGAAAACAAGAAAAGCTGAGCAGTGGTCACTTCCAAAGTGTAAGGTTCCACAACTGTCCTCATCTCTCAATTATAGGAACTGTTTGAAGAGGCATAGTAATTTTCAATTGCTAGCATGAAACATGGGAAGAAATGCCTAACCATGTAGAATGCAGACGGCTTTGAGCTTTCGTAATCATAATCAACACCTCAAATTATATTCAGAAGTCAAATAGGTAGTCAGTGACGAGGAGAGCAGATGTTGCTCACTTTGTTTGTCCAATTCCCTTCAGCAGATGGGCAATAAAAAGTCTGTGCATGCAGTAGGGAGGCATCAAAGCCTTTACGCAGCCACAACATAAACTAAAAGTAACAGCATATCAGAGGCTCCAAATCAATGGATTTGGTGTTGCAATTGATAAGGGAAGAACAGCTTGAACAGAAGGCAATGCTAGTAATCATATACTGTGAAGATTCATGACACCTTTATTCCAAGGAAAGCAATGTGCTAAGCACATCATCATTATAGTCAAGAAATATTTATCGTGCTTAATATGGGTGAGATAAGTATAATCTCGTTATCTCATTTTTTACAGCCTGATAGTTACTTTGAGTGCAAATCCTTTTAGCTTTATTTTATGGGGAGATATTGAAAAGTTAAGTGATATAACTCAGTTCTCATATTTGCTTGTTGGAAAAATGTATTAAGATCAATTCCTTTGCTATTTCTATACTGCAGACGGCTGAAATTTCGTGAAATCTTCAGTTTTAGAAATTGCCATTGGATTTGTTCAGGTTGAGGCATTTTTCAGATTTTATATATTATTCCTATTCTTCTGGGACTGGCAAGTCTTGACTGCTTGCTGATCCCTTTCACCTACCCACTATAAATTCAGTTCTCTGATAGTTGTGTCACATGGAGAGAGGGGCATGTGAGTAGTTCTAGAGAAAGAAAATGAAGAGACTGATAACTACCAGATACCTTTTTCAGATCATGAATTTTATCCAGGTCTTGCCAGAAACTTCTCCAGATTGTATTAGTGTCAGCTGAGAGAGTGTGACATTTGTCTGTGTAACTAGTCATCTCTCCTAGTTATATCATAACTAGGAACTGGAGGCCTACACCTGTAATAGACCAATATGGTTGTGCTTCAGTATGACGTGATGGAGCCTAGCAGTCTTGAGCTAGAATCCAGCTCCATCACCCACGTACTGGGTGACCTTGAACTGCTAGAGCCTTTTAAGCCTCGGTTTTCTCATTTGTAAAGTGGTGATGATAGTTCTTAATTTATTGGTCTATGAGATAATGAATTCCTTAAGATAATGGATACAGAGTATCCAGAAAAGAGCTTGGCACAGCGAGTGCTCAATAATCTTATCATTATCATAATCATCATTTTTATTAATGTATATATTATTATCATTGGAATTCTTATTTTAATATCAACTTAGATATAAAAAAGCTTTAGAAGACAATTTATTCACATTACTTTTGTTATAATGGATTTAAAAGTTTGAATGTCATAATGCATTCAGATTATCTGCGTGGTTCACCAGATTTGACTTGGAATGACTTCATAACCTCTATAAATTATTGCCATTTTTGAGGAATAAGAACTTATTACTAGTAAAAATCACCAGAAGACTGTCGTACAGACTTCAAAAGGCCATTCTAAAAGCAATAATGACAGTTCTATGAAAATGAGTGTACAAACTCCTGAGTTACTTACCTAAAAGATGCAACAATATTTGACTGTATATATTACTTTAAAAAATCAATCATATTTATTTAGAGCCAATCTTGTAAGTCTTTTGTTACTGTTGTTGTGTTGTTAAAATACAAGTTATCAGACTGAATGGCATCTTGCTTCTTCTGACCATTTTTATATCAGCTTCTCTATGTTTATAAATCTGCATGTTCTATTATTACATAATTCTCATTTAAAGACTTGAAATATATTTTTATGTATGTAAAATTATATACCCATCTATATTTCTGTATCTATGATACATGTTACTGTTTAGGACTAAAAATATTCTTGAAGGCACAGATTTTAGTTTGAAACTGTAGTTCTTGGTTGATGTTTTATTTTATTTTGTTTATTATTGTGGATAACATTATTAAGAATTTGTTGTGTTTGTTTACAAGATTTTAGTATCAAAAAAGAATAGTTTATTTTTAATTAGCTTTTTAATTGTTTATTTTTATTAGTGTATACTGTAATCAAAATATTTTCGTATCTTTTTTTACTAGTATAAGAGATAAGTGCTTTCAAAAGCTTTGAGGTTCCATTGTGCTGTCTATAAGGGTTAACACACACTTCCTGTTAATATTTTTCATAGGTGCATTATTGCAATGGGCCTTGACAAAAAAACGTCTTTGCCAAAATCTAGGAAAGAAAAGAGCACTGAGAAAGGAGAGGACCTGAAGAAGGCTGAGGGGAAAATGAGGCAAGAGAGGGAGTATGTGATACCAAAAAGAAATGAGATCAAGGAGAACCAATCCTCTGTCTCAGCCAAATTTTCAGCTCAAGAAATAAAAACAGGGCTCAAAGAAGTTATAACTGCTGTGGAGGAAATGACAAGTAAAGGAAAACCAGGACACGATGTCTGGGAAGACGACCAGGAAAATACTTTAAAATATGGTAATCAACAACACAAGTTTCTTTTCTTGTTGCTGCGGCTGTTTCATTTGTCTTTGAAGTGTGATTATCAAAATTTTCAAAAATACCCATTAAAATGTTACCCAGCTGTGGACTTCAGGCAGCTCTGTTACTGTGGGGTGTCCCTGACCTCCTTCCTCTGCTGTTTTGTGTGGAGTCCTTTGTCACCTACCTTAGAGGAGGGCAGACCTAACCCCCGAAAGGTTAAAGGTTCTTCCTGCAGTGATGAGGAGGTAGAATAGAGTATATGTCAATATGAATTAGAGACTCTATTGACTTCTGCAGAGACCATTTTGGCCAAATAAAATTTTACCTATTTTAAAAGTTTTTGAATGTACTGTTTTTCATGAAATTGATGAATTTGCTTTGACACCAGGTAGGTACAACCTATATAATTATGTGGTGATAGAGTATTCCATAACTAAAAACAGTTGGCTATAGGCTTAGGGTTGTAGAACCTATCTGTCTGCTGTTTTTCGCTTTCTTCTTTATTCTCTGTTCTCTCCTTCTTCCTCTCTCCTGCCTTCCCCTGCTTCTCTGTCTCCCTCTCTCCATACACATACACCCATCCCCCCACCACACACACACGCACACATGCACATTCATATGTATACATACACACATACGTATGCAAGCATGTCTCATTTTATTGTGCTCGCTTTATTGCACAAGCTTTGCAAATATAGCACTTTTTATAAATTAAAAGTTTGTGGCAACACTGCATCAAAGTCTATCAGCATCATTTGTCCAACAGGATGTGCTCACCTCATCCCTGTGTCACATTTTGTCAATATTTCTAACTTTTTCATTATTATGATATCTGTCATGGTGATCTGTGATCAGTGATCTGTGTTGTTACCATTGCAATTGTTTTGGGATGCCATGAGCTGTACCCTGTAAGAAAGTGAACTTAATCAATGTTGTGACTGCTCCACTGACCAGTTGTTCTCCAGTGTCTCCCCTCTCCTTGGTCTTCTCTGTTCCCTAACACACAACAGTGTTGAAATTAGGTTAATTAATAATGCTATACAATATACTCTAGATGTTTAAGTGAAAGGAAGAGTCTCATGCCTTTCACGTTAAATCAAAAGAATCGATTAAGCTTAGTGAGGAAGGCATATCAAAAGCCAAGATATGCTAAAAGCTAGGCTACTTGTGTCAAACAGTTAGCCAAGTTGCGAATACAAAAGTAAAGTTCCTGAAGGAAGTTAAGAGTGCTACTTCAAGTGAACATGTGCATGATAAAAAAGAAATCCTTATTGCTGATATATAGAGAATTTTAGTGGTCTTTATAGAAGATCTAACTAGCTACAACATTCTCATAAGCCAAAGACTAAATCAGAGCAAGGCCCTAACTCTCTGCAATTCTATGAAGGCTGACAGAGGTGAAGAAGCTACAGAAGAGAAGTATGAAGCTAGCAGAGTTTGGTTCATGAGGGTTAAAGAAAGAAGCCATCTCCATAGCATAAAAGTGTGAGGTGAAGTGGCAAGTGCTGATGTAGGAGCTGCTGCAATTTTATCCAGAAGACTAGCTAAGATCATTTATAAATGTAGCTACATTAAACAGTAGGTCTTCAGTGTAGATGAAACAGCCTTACATTGAAAAATATGCCATCTAGGACTTTCATAGCTAGAGAGGAGAAGTCAACACCTGACTTCAAAGCCTCAAAGGATAGGCTGACTCTTCTTTTAGCAGCCAGTGCAGCTGGTGAGTTCATGATGAAGCCAATGCTCATTTAGCATTCAAAAAGTCCTAGGGCCCTTAAACGGTATGCTAAATTTTATCTGCTTCTGCTCTATAAATGAAACAAACAAAGCCTGGATGACAGCACATCTACTTACAGCATGATTTGTGGAGTATTTTCAGCCCACTGTTGAGACCTACTGCTCAGGGAAAAAGATTTCTTTCAACATATTACCACTCGTTGACAATGTACCTGGTCACTCAAGAACTTTGATGAAGATGTGTAGTGCAATAATGTTGTTTTCATGCCTGCTAGCACAACATCCATTCTGTTATTATCCTTATGGATCAAGGAGTAATTTCAGATCTTATTCTTTAAATAATACATTTTATAAGGCTATAACTGCCATAGATAGTGATTCCTCTGATGGATCAGGGCAAATTCAGTTGGAACCTTTCTGGAAAGGATTCACAATTCTAGACGCCATTAAGAACATTCATGATTCATGGAAGGATGTAAAAATATCAACATGAACAGGAGTTTGAAAGAAGGTGATTTTAGCCCTCATGGGTGACTTTGAGGAGCTCAAGACTTTGGTGGAGGGAGTAATTGCAGATATGGTAGAAATAGCAAGAGAATTAGAAGTGGAGCCTAAGATGAGATTGAATTGTTGCAATCTCATGATAAAACTTGAATAGATAAGGAGTTGCTTCTTAGGGATGAACAGAGAAAGAAGTTTCCTGAGATGGAATTTACTCTTGTTGAAGATGCTGTGAACATTGTTGAAATGACAACAAAGAATTTAGAATATGTATAAAATGTATTAGTTGTTAAAGGAGTGGCAGGATTTGAGAGGATGGAGCCCAATTTTGAAAGAGGGTTTACTGTGAGTAAATGCTATTAAACAACATTGCATGCTACAGATAAATCTTCATGAAAGCAAGAGTCAATAGATGTGGCAAACTTTATTGTTGTCTTATTTTAAGAAATTTCCACAGCCACCCCAGCCTTCAGCAACCACCACCCCAATCAGTCAGGAACCATTAACATCAAGGGAATAACCTCCACCAGCAAAAAGACAATGACCAGCTAAGGCCCAGATGATTGTTAGCATCTTTTATCAATAAAGTTATTTTAGTTAAGGTGTATACATTTTTTTAGATATAATGCTGTTGTATACCCAATAGACTGTAGCATAGTAGGAACATAATTTTGGATGCACTGGAAAACCAAAAAGTTTGTGTGACTGTCTTTTTTGCAATGACCTGGAACTCAACCTGCAATATCCCTGAGGTATACCTGTATATTGAATATACATAGGTATACATTCAGGGGTATAGGTATGCTTGTATATACTTACATGTATATATAGGTATGCCTGTATATACTTATACATAAAGCAGTAATAACAACAATAATAAAAGTGCCAAGCACTGAGCACTGAACTAGGCACTGTGCACACACAATCTCATTTTATCCTCACCATTCAATATGGTAGGTATTATTATTACTTCAATTTTACAGGCTGGGAAATTGAGGCTTAGATAAAAGTAGCAGAACAAGAATTTGCACCCAGGTTGGTCTAATTCCAAAGCTCAGTCTTTCAAACACTGTACAACCTTCTATTACAAGTTAGCTTACCCACTACATGGTTGTGGATAGTGTGTCCAAAGTATCAGAAAGGGAGAACTGCCTGTGTGTCCCTCATTCTCAGGAGACAAAGCCTGGTTAGGGGGCACAATAACCATGGGTTAGGGTGACCTGTGGAATGGCTGGCTTCGGGAAAGGGACAACTTCTAGGTATCTTCTTCCCCACCTCATATTTTTGCTGCCCAAATGTTTCAGGAATCCAAGACAATAATTACAGGGCTGTTATAGCGCTAGACTTCATGTTGGATTACTACTGAATATAGTGAATCTTTTACAAAAGATTTCACTTAGAACAGTTTTACCAGCTCACCATTCTTCACAATCTCTTCTAGTCTTTGTCCTGTCTTGGCATGAGAATTTTAATATATCTGTAGCAATAGTAATCACAGGGTGTGTTTTAACAAATAGGATGTGTTTTCATGTGTTTTAACTTTGAAGACATGGTGGTTTATGGAAGTCATGTTCGGTGGAAGCTTTTCATTTTCTTTTTTTTTTTCTTAAACCAACCTAACTAGTGCTATGAGTGATGTACTTTATACTTATGATACCTATGATAAAGTTTTTCCTGGGCTCTTTCTTCCGGGTTGGCTAGTTAATGAACTTTAAATGTCCATTTCCGTTTTTAAAAACGCAGTCACAGCAGCAACGGTTCAGCTCTCTGCATAATAGTCACTGATGAAAGGGCAGCAAGAAGTTTGAATCGAGGCCAGCAAGATTAGGTTGTGGCTAGATTGATGTTGACCTGGTGTTGACTCACGTCCTCATTAGTGGGGATGGTAAACAACAAGCTTATTAAATTCTCTAGAAGAAGGCAAATGGGATAGGGAGAACAGAAGAAATTATGTAAAAGGTTTTAGAAAGCATGCCGCTGTTTTATTCATATCAAAAACGTGAGTAGATGGCACAAAAGTGATGTGCTTTGAGCTATAATGCCAATGGAAGGCTTGTGGTTAATAGGAAGCTAATATTTAAATGTGATGATAGCAGGGATAGAATAAAACCAGGGCAGCCTTGACTTTATATTTGAGAGAAAACACAAAATATGATGCCGGGACTATTCTTGTGGTTCACTTCATGTTCCTTCACTTTTGTGCTGTGCTTCAATTATATAACTGTAATTGTGTCCTAATTGCGGGCACTTGTACTGCCTGATTTTAATCAGGTGCCTCGAATAAAGTGTGTTGCTGTCAAAGGAGTACATATCATTTTTGATTTCTCCTGTTCTATAATCTACTCCCTTCGCTACGCAATCACAAGGACTATTAGTACTAATCCATAATATTTATTATGCACCTGCTATTCATGGCACTGTGCTAAGCACGTTCCAGGGATTATTGCTCTCAATCCTCACCACAGCGTTGTATTACCCATGTTACAGATGGAGAAACTGAAGCTTAAAGATAAATTGCCCAAGGTCGCATAGTTAGTAGGTGTTTTAACTGGGTCTTGGGCACATGAATGCCTGATTCCCAAACCCTCACATTTCACTACTATGTAACACTATGGATGGAATTACAGCAATCCACTCATATTCTCTCTGGCCCTCTGCTTATCTTATGATCAGCAGCAAACACCTGTAGTGTGATATATGTATGTGTATTCTGCAGCTAATCTCACCTTTCTCTTTTGGGAAGTCTTCCTTGAGACCCTAAAATGACTTTCTGCTCTCTTTTCATCCCATTCTGCTTACTTGACACTACTTCACACAATTAATTATATGTCCTATATAAAAATCCATAGCAATCCAGCCCAGTTGTGTTGAAAAACACATTACTGAGGATCACATATTAAAAACTACGATAAAGTGAGTACAGTGTTTCTTGTGTACCTACATCTTATTCCCTCAATAAAAATTGGAGAGTCCTTCATGGCAGGGAATGTCTTATTGTAGTGTCTTCTATCTTGCAGTTTTATCCTCTTAAACATAGAAGATTCTCAAAAAATAGGCTTATTGATTGATAGTTATCAGGGTTATCCTATAACTTGGGAATTATCCTATAACTTGGCCAGTAATACTTGGATCAAAATATTTGCTCGTTTTTATTAGTATTTTCTGTTTGCGTCTAGCAATATAAAGCAAATTCTTTATCTTCTTGCTTATTTTACAGTTTTGGTTTACTGATATTCATATTTTGTATTTAAATGTATTAAATCTCTTTTGTAGAAACATTTTTGTGATTATCTAATTTTCTTTGTTACAGGTTTTGATTTCACTTTTCCCCTTCTATCTCCCTCATTCTCTGTATTTACAGAGCTTTCTGCATATGCACAGGGCATACATTTCTAGATTAAGTTTCTTTCACTGGGTGGACAGCTCTCAAGTAAATTACCCGAGAGACCAACCCCTGCACTGACAGAGAAGCCAGAATAGCTAATAACTAAAACACACAACATTGAGAAACCTTTATTTTAATGGTAATTTTTATTTTAAGGATAATTGTTTATTTGCTTAATTGGTTCTGCATGAGATCCTTTTGCTCTCTATCCTTGGCATGTTGTCACTTCAAGATTTTTAGTTTTTCGTAGAAGAAAAGGGGGAACAATTAAATATGAAAGGTGAAAAATTATAACCACGAGGGACAGCTGGAGTTTATCTGATGTGACAATTTCCTTTTCCTGCTACAGATTTTTTGCCCCTCTGCAGGGAATAAAGCAAATACATGACTGTGACAGGAATATTCTATTTTGTATAAATTTTTATCATTGAAATGTAATTATTTCATTTATTGTAGGAATGAAGAATGCATATGATTTCAGTTCTGGCCTACATATAGAATCCTTCATAATGCCTTTTCTTGATGTCCATTTGTTTCTTAAAGAATGTGCTATTCACAGTGTTACTTCTCAGGGCCTTTGGACTTGATTAATTGAATTTTTCCACTTCACTATTCATTAAGTTGATATCCAAATATTTTGAACACTTTTCGTATGAAATATGACCTCACTGGATCTCCAAATTAACTTTCATTATTATAATCCTGTTCCCTTCATTTTTAATTTATTTCTAATTTATTGTTTTATATCAAGTTCTTCTCTTTCCATTTTGGTTATTTTAGATGATGATGTTCATTTGTAAATGAACTTTTATTAGGTTTCAGCCTTGTCATTTGGAGCTTCATTTCTTTTGTGCTCTTATGTATGTAACTGATTGGAATCTTTGATCATTTGCTGTTAGTTTTCCATGTTCACTAATTGAACGAAAAAGAAGCGGCAAAGAAAGGCTCAGAGAAGAGAGGATAATGGAGTCAAAGTTCTCATTAGAGAGAAATAGGTTAAGATAAGGGGTTCTATTTTCATTCTTATAGTGGAGATTTTCTTTTTTCAGAGTACGAAGAAGATTTTGAAGTAGATGAGGAGAAACAAGGTGAAAAAGCTAATGAAGAAGGACAGGCCGATGTTCAAATGAATGGAATACCACAGTCACCTTTGGATGATAAAAGAGATAATTTAGACCCTGAAAAAGAGAATGAAACCTCATCACAGAAGGCACCAGATGCCCATGACAATGTGAAAGATGAGAATGATGGATGCTCTGAGAGTGAACTGGAAGAGGATAAACCAGGCGAGTTGTTGAGCTTATCATGTAACATAGGCTGTTTACTGAGTGTGTTTACTACTTTTCTTTGTTTTCTATTTAATGAAATAATCCTCTTTTTTTCTCTTGAATATATATATATATATATTTAACTTTTAAATAAGGGGTACATGAGAAGGTTTGTTACGCAAATAAACTTATGTCATGGGGGTTCGTCGTACATATTATTTCATCACCTAGGTATTAAACCTAGCACACATTAGTTATTTTTCCTGATCCTCTTTCTCCTCCCATGCTCCACCCTTCAATAGGCCCCAGTGTTTGTTGTTTCCCACTATGTGTTCATGTGTTCTCATCATTTAGCTCCCACTTTTGAGAGCATGAGGTAATTTGTTACCTTCGTATTTTATTAATGCAGCTTCAAAAATCTAATGAAAGAGAGACGTAAAACAAATGTGTCTGTAACTATTTTAGAATGTAAAGGAATCTTAAAAAGGACATTTATGACTATAGCCATATCCTATCAGTGTTCCAGTTACATCGCAAATGTAACAAATTGTTTGGAAGGAAAAAGTTAAAAATTTCCTATTTCCACAGTTCAGTGTATCTTTCCAGTACATAAACTTACATACCAATATTTATATAATTTTTTACAAATATGTGAACATATAATTCATGTTACTCTTGAAATTGTTTTTTTCAGTTTAACTATGCACATATATTAAGTATCCCAAGAAGTCAATACAAGTAGGGATAACTTATTATTGCTAATAGCAATATGAATGTTTATGGTATGCCAATTTATTGTTTTGTGTACTGATATTTCTGTATCTTTAGGCCATATTTCCTTAAGTATTTGCTTATGTTTAATTTTAGTAAATCCTGGCAGACTGCTTTCTGAAAGGGTCATATAATTCACATTCCTAACAAGGATATAAAAGAGCCTGTTTTGTGATACACCCACTCACTGGATTTTATTAATCTTATTTATGTTAATCTTATGGGCAAAAAAATACTAGCTTCTTGTTTTAGTTTTTATTACCCTAACTTCTGGTGGGTTGAGCATCTTTCCTAATATTCATTGTCCATTTATATTTCCTTTTATGTGAATATATTGCTTGCTTTACCCATTTTTCTATTGGATATTATGGTTATTGGGGGGCTCTTTATTAGGCATAGTTTATCACATGCTGTCATGCTTTCATTTAATTTTTTTTTACTTCATTAATATTTGGTCATTCAGAACTTTTTGATTTTTATTACTCTAATCTATTAATCTTGTTTGTTATTGTTTATCAGTTTCTTTTCTAATTAAAAAGCCTTCTCCTAATCCAAAGGTTAGGGACACATTCCCAAATTTTCATCCATTTTCATTATTTAATTTTGATTCAGATACTTAATCCCTATGAAATTTATGAGTTTTTTTAAACAACTTGAGGTAAAGATTCTTTTCAATGCAAGACCATAAAATCCATGTAATAAATAGTACTAAATTTCACTTTTAGCATAAGTTGAATCAATGATTTTCACACATACCTCAGCATTTCAGAAATATAAAAAAGTATAATTTTAATAATAGGTAAGATGGGAGAAAGAGAGAAAGCTATATATAAGAAAATATGTGGAAAACAGCAATCAGTAGACTTTCATGGTAAAAGAAAGAGAAATAAAAAAATCCTAAGTTAGAAAAGAAAATGCAAGAGGAGTAGAGAATGTTGGAGAGGATCGAAACACCAGTGGCAGACTACAGCATAATAAGCAATGTTCTCACTAAATGTTAGGAGTTTGGAAACTCAACAGATGTTCAGAAGATAGATACAGGAGATGAGGCAAAAATGTCTGACTCTTTTTTGGTTCCATATGAATTTTAAAATAGGTTTTTCTAGTTCTGTGAAAAATCTCAATGTTAGTTTGATAGAAACAGCATTGAACGTATAAAAAACTGTTTTGGGAAGTATGGCCATTTAAATAATATTGATTCTTCGTATCCATGAGCATGGAATGTTTTTCCATTTGTTTTTGTCATCTTTGATTTCCTTGAGCAGAGTTTTGTGGTTCTCCTTGTAAAGATCTTTCACTTCCCTGGTTGACTGTATTCCTAGGTATTTTATTTTATTTTATTTTTGTGGCAATTGTGAATGGGACTGCATTTTTGATCTGACTCTTGGCTTGAGTGTTGTTGTATAGGAATGTTAGTGATTTTTGCACATTGATTTTGTATCGTAAGACTTTGCTGAAGTTATTTATCAGCCTAAGGGGCTCTTGGTCCAAGACTGTGGGGTTTTCTAGATATAGGGTCATGTTGTCTGCCAAACACGGATAGTTTGACTTCCTCTCTTCCTATTTGGATGCCTTTATTTCTTTCTCTTGCCTGATTGCCCTGGGTAGGGCTTCCAATACTATGTTGAATAGGAATGGTGAGATAAGGCATCCTTGTCTTGTGCTGGTTTTCAAGGGGAATGCTTCCAGCATGTGCCCAATCAGTATGATGTTGGCTGTGGGTTTGTCATAGATGGCTCTTTTTATTTTGAGTTATGTTCCTTCAATACTTAGCTTATTGACAGTTTCTAACATGAAGGGGTATTGAATTTTATCAAAAACCTTTTCTGCATCTATTAGGATAATCATGTGGGTTTTGTCTTTAATTCCGCTTATGTGATGAATCACATTTATTGATTTGCATATGTCAAACCAACATTGCATCCCAGGTATACAGCCTACTTGATCATGGTGAATAAGCTTTTTGTTGTGCTGCTGGATTTGATTTGCCAGTATTTGGTTGAGGATCTTTGCACTGATGTTCATCAAGGATATTGGCCTGAAGTTTCCTTTTTTGATGTTGTGTCTGTGTCAGGTTTTGGTATCAGGATGGTGCTGGCCTCAGAGAATGAGTTAGGGAGGAGTCCCTCGTCCTTGAATTTTTTGGAATAGTTTCAGTAGGAATAGTACCAGCTGTTCTTTATACATCTAGTTGAAATCAGTTATAAATCCATCTGGTCCTTGGCTTTTTTGATTGATAGGCTATTACTAACTCAATTTCAGAGCTTATTATTGGTCTTTTCAGGGACTCATTTTCTTTCTGGTTCATTCTTGAGAAGGTGTGTGTCCAGGAATTTATCCATTTCTTCTAGATTTTCTAGTTTATGTGCATAGAGGTGTTCATATTATTCTCTGATAGTTGTTTGTATTTCTGTGGGGTCAGTGGTAATATCCCCCTCGTAGTTTCTGATTGTGTTTATTTGAATCTTCTTTGTCGTCTTTTTTATTGGTCTAACTAGTGGTCTGTTTTATTAACTAAAAGAAACTAGCTCCAGAATTTGTTGATCTTTTGAATTATCTTTCATGTCTCAATCTCTTTCAATTCAGGCCTGATTTTGATTATCTGTTGTTTTCTGCTAGCTTAGAGATTTGTTTGCTGATGGTTCTCCAGTTCTTTTAGTTATGATGTTAGGTTATTAAACTTGAGATCTTTCTAACTTCTTGATGTGGGCATTTAGTGCTATCAATTTCCCTCTCAATACTCTCCTTAGCTGTATTCCAGAGATTCTACTATGTTGTTGATTTCTAATTTGATGTGCTGTGGTCTGAGAGATGTTTTTTATGATTTCAGTTCTTTTGCATTTGCTGAGGAATGTTTTACTTCTGATAATGTGATTGATTTTAGAGTATGTGCCATATGGCAATAAGAAGAATGTATATTCTGTTGTTTTGAGGTGGAGAATTCTGTAGTAGTCTACAAGATCCATTTCAACCAGTGCTGAGTTCAGGTCCTGAATATCTTTGTTAATGTTCTATCTCAATGATCTGTGTAATATTGCCAGTGTGGTGTTAAAGTATAAGTGAGAGACTTTAACACCACACTGGCAACATTGCACAGTTACCTCCACATTATTGTTATGTGGGAGTCTAGGTCTCTTTAAAGGTCTCTAAGAACTTGCTTTATGAATCTGGGTGCTCCTGTGTTGGGGGCATACATATTTAGGATAGTTAGATCTTGTTGAATTGAATCCTTTACCATTATGTCATGTCCCTCTGTCTTTTTTTTTTTTTTTTTTTTTTAATCTGTGTTGGTTTAAAGTCTGTTTTGTTTGGAACTAGAATTGGAGCCACTGCTTTTTTCTGTTTTCTATTTGCTTGGTAGATTTTTCTCCATCCCTTTATTTTGAGCCTATGTGTGTCACTGCATGTGAGATGGGTCTCTTGAAAACAGCATAGCAATAGGTCTTGGTTCGTTATCTAGCTTGCCATTCTGTGTCTTTTAATTGGGGTATTTAGCCTATTTGCATTCAAGGTTAGTTGACATGTGTGGATTTGATACTGTCATCAGGATGTTAACTGGTTATTATTTTCGCATTGTTTTTACCTCTGAAATTTTTTTTGGTATAAAATCTCAAAATTATGAATTTGAGAAGTATATTAGGATAATATAAAATAAAAGTAAATTAAGTAATCACAAGAGCAAATATTTAGTTTACAGTTCTACTCTTTTCAAAAAAGAATTCAAGCAATCCTATTCTAAAATTTTATGTACACACATACAAGGCAATAAAATAAAGAACATAAGTTATTAGACAAAAAGAGAAGATAGTTTTGCAAGTGCCAGAGATGGGACTGTGACTAGGCTTGAACTAAAAATTTAATCCCAGGCTTCCTGACAGTCAAGGTAAAGAATAAAGTACAATGGGCAAAATAAGAATGATGTTAATTATCAGTAAATTTTAAAAAAACATTTGCCATTATTTTTATTATGTTGAAAGAACTACTCAAGACCAATGGTCAGGCAATGAAATTTTCTTTTTAAGGTTTTAAACCAGGTCTTTTCTGTAATTTATCTTAATACATATATTTTATGTTTCTTAGATTAAATGTGACTAGTACATAAGCTCTTTTGTCAATTCGAATATTAATATTGGAGTTAGGCTTATAATCCTATATGATCTAGAGAAAGTGAAATATATTTTTGGAAAAGTGATATAATCTAAGTCAATAATTTTGAAGAAACTATCCAAGTGTCTCGAACCTGGAAA